CTGGCCGTTGGCTACCATGAACCGACAGAGCCATAGCGTAGTGCGGGGCCCCCGCGCTGGAAAATCATTCAAGGGCGTCTCGACCATGCCCTCCACGGCGAACCTGAACTCCCTGAAGCGGGCCCCGCTCACGTCCTGCTGGATCGGCTGCACACGGATGTCCACCGTCGGGAATGCGGCGACCGTGGGGGCGGCGGCGCCAGGGGCCATGGCGGCGGCCACCAGCACACCGCCTGCGCCGATGGCGGGGGGCGGTGCGACGGCCGCTGCGGCGGCACCCGGCGCGGCCGCACCCGGCACTGCGCCCGCGGCGGCGCCAAGGGCCGCGCCTGCGCCGGCCACGGCGCCGCCAGGGCCGCCGCCAGGAGCGGGACCAAGCGCAGCCGCCAAGGCGCCAGCGCCTCCACCCAAGGCCGGCACGACGGCCTCCGCGGCGGGGGCGGCCCCGGCTGGGGCGGCTCCGACCGCGCGCCCGACCAGGTTGGGCTGCTTGCCGTCGATCGGCACCGCCACTCCCCGCCGGGCAGCCGCTCGGGCACGGGCGGCGTTGAACACCGCGGGTGTGGGTACATTCTGAAACCGATAAACAGGTAGTACAGCTCCACCAGGTCCAGCAGGAGGATCACCTCCACAGGCCCCTAAGGCCATCAATCCGAACGACACTACATCTGCACCATGAAGCCAATCCTCGTCGTACTCATCTCCATCTGGGGTGAGCACACTCACGGTCGAACCAGCGCCGGGCTCGATGAGCACGAGCCGCTCGTGAAAGATGGGCGGACCTGGCACGTTATACTGGATAGCACCAAAATCACCAGCCTCGATGCCGAGGCTTTGCACTGGAATAGGGGCAGCCATCACGCCGAATTCTTGCGCCGCTGCCTAAGAAGATTCAGCTGCTGGAGCGCAACCTTCTCTACGTCGTCGGTGAGCGGAGCAAACCCAGCGGCGGCGGCGGTCGATATGGTCGGCGTGGTCCGAGCCCCGATCACACAGTACTGCACCACCAGCACTCCGAGCGCCCCGACGATCGTGCCAACGAAGAAGAAGGTCGGCCCGCTCGGGCTCGTCGGGGTCGTATACTCCTGAGGCAGAGAACCTTCCGCACAGGCCAGCGTCGGTGAGCACTGGCAAACGCAATCAGGGCAGCCGACAGTGGATGCGCGGACTGCGAGGGAGGTAGAGAGTCCCCGAGCAATCTCAAGGACCAGCTCGTTCATGGGAGCCTGGGCCCCCAAAAAGCTTGAGCCGCAATGTCATGCGGCCCCGCTCACCCCTCTCCCACTTACTGTATTTAATTCAGACATTGCGGTATCCGGGCCGTGTCCCATGGGGCATCGCGGAAACGCCGCAAGACAACGCATAGTGCACAAATTCCTGGGCGGTTCTCTGGGCGAGAGGTGCCGAAAACAGAACATGCACACTGCGTTTGGGCCAGCATGTGCCACCAAACAGTGGGCAAACATAACGCGGTAGAGTGGACACATTATAACCTGATCGGGCGTTGGCAGAACTGGGTTTAGTAGGACCTGGTTTAAAGATGTGTACTGGGGGACACCCCTCCCGCCCCGTTCCACTAACCGGAACTGTCGTCACTCGAAAAAACAACGGCTACGGCAGACCTGGTTTAGTGATTCTGGCCCATTTAGGGGCTCTGGGGCCCTACCACTAACTGGGCCCTTACCTGGGGTACTGGCTATACACGACCTGGGATGGGGCAGCGATAGTATTGGGACACATTATAACCTGAGATGGGGCAACGATAGTGTTGGGGAATTCGGACGTGCTCGTCGGTGCTCGGCGGCTGTCCAGCCCCAGAAGGCCCTCCAACGGCCGCGCCTCGCGTTCCGCGGGTGCCTGGATCGTCCCGGATGGCCGCCAAGCTGAGGGGGGGAACATCGGACGGTGATCGGCGAGAATTTCGCAGTGTTGGGCGCCCGAATTATATACGGAGTAGCTCGGGCCTGGGGTACCTCGGGAACCCGAGTTAGCCCTGACCCGAATCGCCCCTGCTGATTTGGGGCCCTGGACGCCCGAATTATCCGGGGCAACTCGGGCCCCGGGGTACCGCGGGCTCGAATCCCCCCAAAAACGAACCCGAGCTGGCCCCGACCCGAGTTGCCACTGATGCTTCGGGGCTCCGGCAGTGGGCCCCCCCCGAGGGAAGGCCACTTCGCACGCCCTTGGGCAGGCCGGGCGACCGGGCCCCGACCGGAGACGAACGGGCGACTGGGGACGACGCATCCCCCCCGTGAGTACGGCAGGTTCGCGTCGTGTCGACCCCGGCGTTGGTTTCTGACACCGCGGGGATCGTACGATCGGCCGCTGCCGCAACGTCCGATCGTTCCACATCGAACGATTCTGGGTCGCCGGCGGCGTTCAACCTTGAACGCCCGCGCTGGGGTCGCCGCTGGTCGACACGACGCAAACCTACCGTATCGTTTGACCGATCCCCATCTCCAGCGGCGTGGCCTGGGCCCCACTGGCCGATTTGGCCCTCAGGATGGGGATATGGGCCGTTTCCTTCGGGATTCGAGGGGTGCATCCCCAACTGGGGGGGTTTCATTTGGTGGGGGTCTCGGAGGGGGTGGGGATGGGGATGGGGCTTGGGACCCCTGAGCATATCCCCCCTAACGTTAGGCCGGGCATGTCCTCCTACAGGCGGATGCTACAAGAAAGACGGAGCACAATCAAACATAGTCCAAGAACTCCAAGCATGATCGAACAATTGCCCCCACATTATACTTTGATTGCTCCTGGTGATTCCTCCTGCGGAGGGACATGCCCGACCTCATCCTGATTACACCAGAGACAAGCCCCAATCAATAAATGGTTTTCGCTGAGGAGATCGACCGGGAACCCCGGAGCCCGGGAACCCAAAACCCACCGAAATCGGCCCGGAACCAAGAACCGGGAACCCGGAACCGGGAGCCCGGGAACCCAGCCTGCCACCAAAATCGGCGGGAAACTTTCGTCAAATCTTGCAACCTCCGCGAGGACCCCGTCAGTGCAAGCACTGATTGGGGAACGTCGCCCCTGGCCGCGGCCCCCGCACGGCGGCCGGCGGTGCTCGGCAGCGGGCCCGCGGCGCTCCCTCGCGGTGCACCGCGCGGCGGCAATCCGGGCGGCGCGGCGGGCGGCGGCGGCGGCGCGCGGCAGCGAGCCCGGCGGCGCTGTCGGGGGGGGGGGGGGGGCACCGCGGTGGGCAGCGCTCTCGCGGCGGTAGCAGGGCGGTGCGGCACTCGCTCGCGTCGGCGGGCTCGCGGCGACAGCAGAACCGCCTGGTTGTCTCGCAGGGGGGGGGAGACGAGAAGGGAGGAAGCCCGCCAAGGGTGAGGGGGGAGGCAGGATGACGAGGGCGAGGGGAGGAGGAGGAAGAGGAGGAGGAGAAGGGAGGAGGAGGGAGGAGGAGGGAGGGAGGAGGACGAGGAGGAGGAAAAGGAGGTGAGGAAGAGGACAAAAGGAGACTCAAGACGTTTCAACGATGTTGAGATACACCCTCCATTCAAAGTCCTCCCCATAGGCCCCTAAACACGTTCACTTCCACTGAGGAACTGCCCCGTTGTGGGACAGCCGTGTGAAAATCCTGACGCGTGCCAAAGCACAATTCTCAGGACTTCAACGCCACGAGTCAACCTGTCTCATTCGTCTCGGCAATCCTGAGTCGCGCCAGAACACAATTCCTGGGGTTTCAACATAGCGAATCAAGGAACCTGTTGCGCCCTGGCTATCCTGAATCGTTTGATTTCTCTTGCAAAATTGTGGAACCAATGTGCGCGGCGCTTAAACGAAAATCAGAGTTGAAAAGGAACCGCCCTCAATCCGCGAAACTCTTGCACATTGTCAAAACGAATGTGCGCGGCGATACGGAGAGAACCGCAAATTGAAAAGACACCGCCCTCAATCCGTGAAGCTCTTGCAAATGTTAAAACGAATGTGCCTAAGCCACGCTAACCGCGATGTCGGTTAACGGCGATGTTGTGTGGTACTTGCGCCGCTGAACTCGCGCAGAACAAAGTGTAAGAAAGCACAACCGAGCCACTACAATTGGGTTGGCCACGAACAGGCCCAACCTACAATACCGAATCCTACAGCGCCGCTGCGTACATCGCCGTTAGCGTGTCTACAAATGTGCGCGACGCTGAAACGAGAACCTCGTTTTGAAAACCAGATGTCCTCAATCCGAGAAACTGTTGCAATTCTTCAAACGTAAGCACGCCGCGCTAAAGCGAGAACTACATTTCGAAGACGAACCGTCCTCAATCCGTGAAACTCTCGCAAATGTTTGGAACGAATGCGCGCGGCGATACTGTTAACGCCACATTTTGAAAGCGACCCGCCCTCCATCTGTGGAACTGTTGTCAGCTGTTAAACTGCAGGGTCATACATGGTAAAGAAATATCCGGCGGAAACGACCGGCCCACCCTTCCGATCGACCTGGGGTGCGACATGGAGTGACATGGAGGAGTTACCCATAAGGAGGAGGAGGAGGACAAGGAGGAGGGGACCAACGACGAGGCTTGGTAGGCCGAGGCGGAGGACGAAGAGAACTTCAGGAAGGACAGGAGACGCGCCGAGGGACGACGGAGAGCGGGGAGAACCCCAGTAGAACGGACAAGGAAGGAACCCAAAGACGAGGGAGGACGGGGGGAACCTCAGAATGAACAGGAAGGACTCAGGAGGAGAACGAGGAAGGATTGGGAGAGGAGGAAGAGGGGGAAGGGGATGGAAGGAGGAGGAGGAGGGAGAAGGAAGGGAAGGCGGAGGAGGGGAGAACGACGAAGTCCTGGCCGAGAAGGCCCAACGAAAAGGTAGTGGAGGAGGAGGAGGACGAGGATGAGGATCGGGAGGGAGGAGCAGGAGGGAGGAGGAAGGAGCAACACGAGCGAGGAGGAGCAGGAGGTTGTGGAGGAGGAGGGGAGGGAGGGAGGAAGGACAAGGAAGCAGAGGGCGGAGGACGCCCACGTGCTCTCAGGGGGCGGTGGGGGGGGGGGCACGACCGACGGGCTGAGGCAGCCCAGCTTCTTGGAGCACTCCACCACGGGCTTCATGTTGGCGCACTGCGAATCGGGCCTCGGCCGCCCTCGCGAACGTTCTCTCACTCGGCGTCTCGACATTGGTGAAGGGGCCCTGGGACACATGAACAAATAGACACAAATAGCAGGACTCCCCATATTTCCCCATGTTTTCTGGGGTTCTGGCTTCCCCCTCACTTCCCATAGTTCCGTATGTTGCCCTGGGAATCGACGATGAATTGTGTCTGTGTGTGTGTTTTGTTCCCTCCTGCATTGGGCGGAAGGAGGGGGGGGATCTGGCTCCAGACCGCTGCTTGGTGCGGTTGTTCGCAAGACGGATGCCTCTGTGGGAGACTCCACCCGCTCGAAACAGGCGCCAGAAACAGCCAAGATCTGCTCCATGTGGGGGGCGGGTGCGAGGGCCCGCGCGCGCCGATCGGCAAAACAATGAATCAAAAAACGATCGCCTTCCGTCGTCGTTGTCCATCGAGGTTTTGCGAGGGAGGAAGCGGTCCTCCTTGAGCCCAGTTTCGTCAGTGGCCGATGGGCAATTCACTATCCCTGGCTGCGTGGCTGAAGTAGGATTCCGCGGTGCGGATTGCTGTTGTTCTGTTACTTGATGATGTTGTTCGTTGTTTGTTGACGTGGTCCCACCGCGACCCCGCCGGCGACCCACCCGCGACCCAACATCGATCCACCCGCGACCCACCCCGCGACCCACTCGCGACCCACCTCGCAACCAACCCCGGCGACCCACCCGCGACCCAACCGCGACCCACCCGCAACCAACTCGCGACCCACCTGCAACCCACCGTCGACCCAACCGCGACCCAACTGCGACCCAACCGCGACCCACCCGCGACCCACCCTTGATCCACCCGCGACCCACCTGCGATCCACCCGCGACCCACCCAATGGCTTTGACGAGCGATTCGGCGCCTGCGGCGAGCTCGCGGTATGATTTGTTGAAAAAAATTCGTATCATTTGATACAAAATCGGCGCCTGCCGCGGGGTTCTTCAGAACCTCACAGACTGCCAACGACCCCGCCGCCCCCTCAATTTCATCCGCAACTGCCGGGTGCTACATCGTATTCGCGACAACGCGCATGACCAGCCCCGCACACCTCTCCTCCCTCCCCTGGTTACGTCACGGCCCGCGGCGGCGCCGACTGGGAAAAGGACATTCTTAGGTAGTCCCAGACGGCGCCGGCGCGAATCGTGGCGTGACCGGCCACCTCCTCCCCTCGCCCACCCCACCCGACACGCCTTTTGTCTTGTCAGGGGATTAACAAAAAACCTTCTCCTTACAAGCAATGGCATGAAAATACGCTTTCGGATGAGGTCCGCGCGGATCTCCTGGGTTGGCGCTGGACCCTGGTCTCTGGCACGCCGAGCGCGCCATGGTGAGTATCGTTTAACCGAGCCCCATCCCCAGCGGCGTGGCCTGAGCCCCACTGACCGATTTACCCCCCCAGATGGGGATATAGGTCGTCCCTTTCGGGTTTCGAGGGGTGTATCCCCATCTGGGGTGGTAATTTGGTGGAGGTCTCGACGGGGATGGGCATGGGGATGGGATGGGGATGGGTATGGGTATGGGGATTGGTTAAACGATACCGACACGGGGCGGCGCTGGAGGCGCCTCCAATATGGCCCGGCGTCGACCCGAGACGTCGGCGCGGACCTCCGACACGATCTGTTTATGTCATTGGTTGTCCCGCGCGCCTTGCTTTCTGCACTGCTGTGATTCGTATCGATTCATTTCGCGTTGCTTGGCGCCGTGTTCAGCATTGCCCTGCGTTGCCTTTGCATTGCTTTCCATTGCTCCTCGTTGCTCTGAACTGCTTTGCGTTGCTCAATTTTGCATGGCCGTGTGTTGCGTTGTTTTGCCTTGCCTTGCTTCATTGCTACACTGTGCTTAACATTGTCGCTTCCCGCGCATAATGCACCACATAGCTTGCACAAACAATACTCTCCCTTCTAAGTAAATGTTTGGATATATCCCCTCTTCCACGGACTAATAATTCCCCCTTGTCGTATTGTTTCCGAATATGATTACGCAGACTCACGCTGAAACGCGAACTCACATCATGTCATACAGTCCCTAAGCGCCACGCCTCATCCCCTCAAAAAACATACACGCGCACTCCTTGATCAAAAGCCACTGGTTTCTAGCAAAGGCCCCCGCGGTAGCACAAAAATGTATGACGAAAAGCACACGCGCGCGTTGCCGCGCGCGCACGCCGGAATCATTCAAAAACCGTCGGTGCTGTAGGAATTTCAAGACCGAATACCCCGAGAACCCATTGAAAAATCATGGGTTTACGAATAATCCCCCGAAACACATGAGCTCGCGCGATTGCGACTTCTTGAAAAAAACATGGTTTTCCCGAGCGTGCCCTTCGCGCGCGCGTCGGAATCATTTGAACGCCCTTGCGAGCATGCTGTCGCACGAAATGCACGCGCGCACGTCGTCGCGCGCGCATGCAAAACCTTCGGGGACCACTGTTTTCGTACGGATTGCCACAATCGAGCGCCCAGAAAGCATATCAAGCACATATGGCTTTGCAGCGCGAGTTTTGAAGCAAACCTGCGCGGGCGCTCTTCCGATTTCTTGATTATCCCGGCAAAGCAACCTAACAGCGACGTGTATAAGCATATCTGGAAGCATTCCGCTTAAGATTCAGGTGAGAATCCAGTTGTAGAATTCTGTTGTTCTCGCAGTCGCAGTCGCATTTGCAATGACAGTCGCAGTGGCAACGGCCTTAGGATCCAATGGAATCCTAAGGATTCCTAGGGATTCCTAAGGCATCTTTAGGCATCCTTAGGGATCCATAGGAATCCTTAGGAAACCTTAGGAATCCTGATTCCTAGGGATTCCTAGGGACTCCTAAGGATTCCTAGGGAATCCTGAGGATTCCTAAGGATTCTTGAGGCACGTTGGTGGGATGGGCCGAAGGCCTTGCCGCCCAGGAGCCCAGAGTCGTCTTCGGGCTCATTTGCGGGGCCGCCTGGGGAGCCTGTTGGGCCATGCAGTTGCCATCTTGGGGCATCTTGGATCCATCGTGGCCGTCTTGGGGCGCTCGTCGGGCCCTCATGAAGCCTTCTGGGGCCGTCCGGGCCATCTGGGGCCGTCTTGGGCCCTCCTGGGGCGCTCCTGAATCAGCCTCCCCAACCGTTCTCGAAGTTGTCCCAGAACAGTGCTCACAGGCACTCATGGTGTTGATGCAACTATGTTTGTATATACCTATCCATATATACATACATACACACATGCATGTATACACTCATCTCTCTCTCTCTCTCTCTCCACTGCTCTCTGTACCTCATGACCTGTCCTGTCTCCCTCCTCCCTCCTTCCATTCTGCCAACGCCTACCCGAGCTTGATTGGAGAAGGCACCCGAAAGGAAACCAGACTCTTCCGAGAACGCGGCCCCGGCTCCAGGAACGCAGGAGGCACGATGCGCGACACACAGGACACAGGGGCACACTCGACTTGGCAAGGCCAGCCTGGGAATCGGACTCGACTGTGCCCTGTTCTCCCAGCTCCCAGAGGAGAACGGATGTCAGGAAACACCCACCCCCCACCAAACCCAGGACAGCCCATTCGGGCCCCACGAAGGTAGTGGACCTGGCTTCCGTGGCAAGGCCTGTGTCCAGACAGGGCGAGGAACGTGTTTTTGTTTATGGAGGTGGGTATCTCCCTGGCCATCTCAAAAACCCCCCAGAGCCCATGTCAGAACAACCAAAACCTCCTAAACCATTGCAAGCACCTGCAGCCCGGAACCTCCTCGATGTCGTCGTCGTCATCGTCGTCCTCCTCCTTTCTGACGACGGCGATACGCAACCTCTCGCGATCTCGCGATCGGTCTCTTACCAGCCCGCACCTGGTCATCGCCGCCACGACGGTATCTTCCGCGTACGTCATCGGGTCCTTGACGGCGTCGCACTCATCCGGATCGGCACTCAAGGCCTGCCCGTGGGGCTCGAGCGGGAAGGACATTCCGACGATGACGATGATGGCGATGATGACGACGATGGCGATGATTACGGTGATGATGATGGTGATGATTATGATAGACACGGGAGAAGGGCTGTTTAACTTATTTTGGGTAACGGCTGTTGCTGGGGGGGTGGGGTGGGCCGGCGGGCAACGGTAACGACGGCCGCGGCGTGCGCCCGCCAAGGTCAATCCGCGCCATCGGCACATCAATTGTCTGCGCGCGCTGCAATCCCTGCGCACGCGACAATGCCAAATGCATTGGTGCAACCAGACAAATTCGCATGAGTGCGCCACAATGCTTCGATACACCACAACAGCTGCATGCACAACGCCACCACGTCGCCCATGCACGCCGCAAAATATGTTTCTACTACAGCAGCCGTGTGCGCGACAGCACTTGTGCACACCTCGTTGCCTGCGTGTGCCAGAACGTTTGTGTACACCGCGCCGCCTGCGTGCACCATAACAAACATGTGAACCACAGCGCCTGCACACGCCGCGATGCTTCCGTGCACCACACCGCCTGTCTACAACAGAACGTGCCAACGGGCACACGAATAGTTTGCGAAGTTTGTTTGCGGGGCCCGACGCAGACCGCATGAACCCTCACCACGTCGCCCGCGCACACTGCAACACCTGGAGACTGCGACCGAATGCGCGCAGGCTGCTCGGCTGGCACACTGTGATGCTTCGGCGCAACCATCCGTAGTCTGATTCGAACGAAACGGCCAAGAACAATTAACAAACATGGGGGAACGGGGACAACTCGAAAGCGAGGTGGGGGAGGAGGGGGGCGGGCGGGAGCGGGGGCGAATTTGATGTGCACATGAACAGATAAGAGCGAACAAGCACATGGTACCCCAGCGCGCCAACACGCAGGGAAAATGTCTCGAAATCCGGCCCGCAAATGCGAGCGAAAGCCTACGAGAAAGACGAGGTGGAGCGATGGGGGTGACCAGGCGGACGACCAAATGCGCGGCGCCCCATATGGCATGCCAATAACGCACAACGCAATCCAGAGAGGAAGGGGAAGGAGAAGAAAAGGAGGAGGAGGAGGAAGGGCAGATGACAACGAAGAGAGGAGAGGGTATATTAGTAGACGGTGGAGCAGGCGGGAAAAAGGCCGGATTATGTTATGCCATACGAAAAGCTGCACCCATGGCATCATTCGACGTCGCTTCGCCTTCGCCAGCGCGAACTGTAACAGACGCAGGATGACCGTTGCTCCACCCAAACATGGCTGCGAAATCCTTTGGCACCATTGCTTCCAGGAGCTCCACCAGTAGGAACAGCAGGGGAAAATAACATAAGGATGTAGCGTAAACCGCACAAGTCCGCGCACTGCAATAGCCTGCAGGCGCCACAACAAGCAGGTGTGCACCGAAACGTGCCTTTTTAGCACCACGCCATGCCTGTGAATTCGGCGCCACAACAGGTGGGGAACCTGCGAACGCCACATCACGTTTGTGAGCACCACACATACCTTTTTCAGCACCACGCCGCGCCTTTGAGCACAGCGTCGTACCTGCTGAGAGGAGGGGTGTCCGCCCCCCCCCCAAAACAAAAAAAAACATACGATCGCTAGCGTTACCCAGGGGGGGTTGGGCTCGGGTAGCAAGTGTTACCCACCAGACGAAACAAACAAAACGCTCTCAAAGAGGATGATGATGAAGACGGAAGCCGAGACAAACGCCGCAGTCGACTGCACACTGCTAGGCAACCCGCCCGCACCTACTGAAGCATGGCGTAGAGACAGTAGCCTCAACACAGAAAATGCGCATGTAACTAAATGGCGGCTTGGCGCTCAATAGGCGAAGTCGTGGCAGGCGAGCGGGAATCGGAAACTGGAGGCAGGACTCAAAAAGGATGTTGATGGGAAAGAGGCGACTGGAAGGGAAGAATCGGCGGAGCAGCTGAGGACGTCTTGATTGAGGAGCGCGGAGACAAGCAGGAGGAGGAGGAGGAGGAGGAGGAGGAGGAGGAGGATAACGACATGCAGAAGGAACAGTAACATACGACGAGGTGGCTGTGGGCGCGGCGCGCGGCGGCAGCGGCGGCGCCTTGTCGCTCAGCAAGCATCGGCAGATCCCCCTCTCGCCGCCCTTGCAGCTCATGTTCTGGGCCTGCTCGGGGCGTCCACCGCACACTTGCCGAAGCCGTCGTCGTCGTCGTCGCCGAAGACGTCGTTGCCCACATCCTTCTCCACCTCCTCCTCCTCCTCCTGCTCCTCCTCCTCCGTCATCGCCAACATCCTTCTCCTCCTCCTCCTCCACCACCCCGTCCTGCTACAACTAGCATTAGCATTACTACGAATACTACTACTACTACTACTACTACTACTACTACTACTACTACTACTACTACTACTACTACTACTACTACTACTACGACTACTACTACTACTACTACTACTACTACTACTACTACTACTACTACTACTACTACTACTACTACTACTACTACTACTACTACTACTACTACTACTACTACTACGACTACTACTACTACTACTACTACTACTACTACTACTACTACTACTACTACTACTACTACTACTACTACTACTACTACTACTACTACTACTACTACTACTACTACTACTACTACTACTACTACTACTACTACTACTACTACTACTACTACTACTACTACTACTACTACTACTACTACTACACTACTACTACTACTACTACTACTACTACTACTACTACTACTACTACTACTACTACTACGACTACTACTACTACTGCTACTACTACTACTACTACTACTACTACACTACTACTACTACTACTACTACTACTACTACTACTACTACTACTACTACTACTACTACTACTACTACTACTACTACTACTACTACTACTACTACTACTCCTACCACTACTCCTACTACGACGACAACTACCACCACTACTTCGGCGACTACTACGACTACGGCTACTACGGCTAGTACTAGTATTACGACTACTACTACACCTACTACTTTTTCAACTGATACTACGTCTACGACGACAACTGCGGCGACGACGACAACCGCTACTACTACTACTACTACTACTACTACTACTACTACTACTATTGCTACTACTACTACTACTACTACTACTACTACTACTACTACTCTACTACGACGACTACGACGACTACTACGACTACTACGACTACTACTACTACTACTACTACTACTGCTACTACTACTACTACTACTACTACTACTACTACCACCGCTACTACTACTACTACTACCAGCGGCGAGGTCCGAGTGCAGCCGCTCCAGGGCGTCGCGGTGCTCCCCGAAGGCGCGAGCGTAGCCCGTCTCGATCTCCTCCACCACGCTCTCCGGCATCTCGCGCCTCGCGTCGGGGTCGAGGCGATTGCTGAGCAGCGCGTCGGCGCGCGGCGCGGTCGGGTGGGCCCCGCCCAGTTCCGACATCAGCCACCGGAGTTGCTTCGCCAGAGACGCGGGCTCGAGCACCGGCT